CGCTTTTTAGTTTTTTGGGTTTTTTATCAGTTTTTTAGTCCAAGCAACTCTTTTACTGTAGTTTATTAATCTAAGGCTTTTTTTAGAGTGTATAGTATCTCCAGACAAAGTGAAAACTCTAGAAGCTGTATTTCAGATTTACACTGATACACTAAACAAGAATATATACTAGATCAACATATTAGGCAAATCGTTATCTTTCGAACACTTTTTAATACAGCAGTTATAAATGACGCGCACACGTCGTATAATTAATAAATTAGCTACCTTTCTGAATGTAGGTTTTTCATATCCATTCAAGTTTTAGAGAATGAAATAAGGTATAATACTAACGCGCTGTATTTTCGTTCAACGTTTGTTTTTGTTTGTTCCACGGGAACAGCATTAATAGCTTGGGCGATAACGCATAAACATACTAATATAAAACTAAGTTGCATTGTTTTTCTTTGTATCAAAGAGTGAATATTATACAAAAACGATAGAAATAGAATGAATGCTGTTATATATGAGATCAGTGATTCTTTTTTTTTTCTGTTGGATTTGTAATTGATCCGATTGGTAAAATTGAAAATAAATGGAGATGAAATATAAAACCATTGAAATTACAAAAAAAAAACAAGTAGCATAGTAGAATTAAAATTTCTTTTTTTCACTCTGTTTTTTCTTTTGATCAATGTTTTTGCGCAAGCACTCTATAGAAAATATCTAGAAATCAATTATTCCATTCTATGTCAAACTATAGTCAGGCCATGAGCAAACACGAATGCGATTAATAGAATTCATACAGAATAACATATGAATGAAACTGATAAGAAAGTAATTTATTGAAAAACACTTCATTAAATAAAGTGGATATTCATTTCAACAGCAAATTGATCTTTGATTAATTGCATAAAGTTAAAGAAGATCCTTCGGTCCACGTAAAAGTTTCCCGGAGTGATCGAATATGAAGAAGACTTTTTCTCTGAGATAATCCTTAAAAATACATCGTTAGACGCATTTTTTCGCGCTGATGACGAATATAAACTTTAAAAAGAATAAAAATTTAACTTTGAACGCGAAATTTTAAATTTGAATAGTCTGTTCAAGAGTATGATAGTCACTATAATGGTAGAAGAAACAATGCTGATAGAGTATTTTTTCTCTCTATTTCTTTTGCCAGACATGTCTGAACTAAGTATCAAGATGACTCGATATCTGACAAAGAGTCTCGACTCATTTCGATGCCTTAATTGCTGCTACATGATTTATCGTGCTTATGGGTGATTAAGGTTTGATCGTAGCTAGTGCATTGTGCCTTTTGGATGTATAAGTGATGCTTGTCAAATGCACCTAGGCGAATTTTTTCAAAAAAAGCAGCGACTTAGAGATGTTTGGACATTAAGGCGATTAACAGTAAAAAAGTAAGAAAATGCATCTGACGTGTCTTCCAAATGTACTGTGTACGCATTTTGAAGCAAATCGCGTGGTTTATCGAGACACTTTTTTTGACAGCGTACAAAATACTTTCTAAAACCAGTTATTTAGCGAATTAAACTAAAATCGAAATTTAGCATCTAAAAAAGTGTTTCATATCTTTTTGCTAAAAACGTTAAATAGTTCGAAAAATCTATCTTGTCTGTAGGCATGAGTGAAATAATCAAAACTTGTCGGATTGATCGTACCCAAATGTGATGACTTTTTTGGTGAAAAATACAGGCATTAAACTGAAAAAATCCACTCTGCTTCCATTAAAGAGCTAAAACTTTGTTGGAAAACGTATAATGCATAGACAAATTATTGAATTCATAGACCCGACTGTAAAATGCTCACAACTATTAAAAGCTCTTATTAGTGGAAAAACCGTTAACAAATCTTAAAACAAGACGGACGAGATCGATAAAACTGAAAATAATTTAAATTCAGTCGAAGCATCTAAAATGACATCTCGATAACGATATGATTTTATTATCAATAATGTTATTACTGTTCTAAAATTATACTCAAAAACCATACAATGAGACTGTTACTATACAGAAAATGATATGAAATGACTGTTAATGTACTACGTACCAGCGTTCTAACTTTCCAACTTTGTTTTGGGCGAGATTTAAAGACGATAAAAGTGACATCAACATCAACTGAATTTCGGATTCATCTGGTTCAATCCAGTATGATAATTATTACAAAACAAGAAAAGCTAAGCAAAAGATTAGCATATTCGTTGGAAATCTAAATCGTTTACTGATTCACGAACAAATTCTCGATTTAAAATTCATGTCTCAATCAAAATAAAGAAACTTTTTCTCTATCAGATTCATCTTCTTGAATTTTCTTAGTTTTTTTCACTTTCCAACGCCATGCATAATGTCCATTTTCAACTTTTTATTGTAAAGCTTAGATGGTGGATTGTCCACAACTTTGTTACTGAAAGAGTGAGCCCGTCTCATTTTACGTCGGTTTGCTTTTCTTTATATGTTTTGAATGACAGACAATACTTCCTGAAAAGTGTTACTAGATGTTCTCTCGAGAGGAGCGGTACGTTACTTAAAGATTTGCCCATCGCAAAGTCCCACTGAATCTCCTCACCTTCTTACTTTCCATTTGGGAAAATGCACATTTCTTTGCTTAACATCTTCCAGCTTGATGAACTAACCTGAAAAGTAAGGTTAGAATAGTGGATTGACTAATCAGATCGTAATATATACTTTTTTCTTAAAAATAATGTAAAAGAAAAACGAATCATAGGTCCTATTTACATTATTTCCTCGTGCAAATAGCTTTATGTTTTCAGTTTTATACTTATTATTGGATGGTCTACATGATGATGTCGAAATCAGTAGTCGGTCAATGTGGACACTGCCCTGTATTAAACGCTTCCATACTAAAATTTTGTAATTGTGTTTGTTTTATTGTTAAAACAATACGATAATAAATGGGTTTCTACCTGGCTACTAACAAAAATAAGATTTTTTTGCAGAACTATATGTCTTTTCTCCATCTCTTGACTCCCCATACAGCTACAGCTCAGCCATTCCGCGTAACAGGCAACTAAATGTCTGTGCGTTACCGTTTTTGCCGTTTTCTTCCATTTATAGAATTTACAAAAAACATCGTGAAAAGCTGAAAGACATCTTATTTTGTAACTAAACGTGTGCTCGTCAAAATCCAAACAAAGCTCAATGTAAAATATCGAGCTATCTTCCTAATATAATCAAATTTCAAATAGCCCCATTTCACTGGAATTGGGTTAGGGCTGTTGGAAAAACCACTATAGCGGAAAATCGATCATATATTTTGAAATGAGCCTCAATCAGGTTTTGAAGAGCAAATTCTTAGCTACAAAATGAGACGTCTCTCAACTCTCCATGGACTCTCATTCAAACATTATAAGATCAACAAAAAGAGCGAAAAGTAACGCACAGGCACGTTACGCGGAACGGCTGAGCTTATACTCATTCCTAAAGAGGGTACATGTGAAACTTGTGTTTCTTATTTTCGTTATTTGTTTCCTTTTTCAGTTTTCTTTTTTAACTCTTTTGTTGTTGCTTATATTCTATTTTTCATCTATACGAAATAATGGTTACTATTACGAGTGCCTTCCCACTTGCTGATGAGCATTACTAGTTATTTCTTCTCAGTTTAAATAAAAAAGTTTAATAAAATTCACATCACTCTTAGCTAATATTTTATAATTCAGTGATGTTGTACAGAATTTTGTCAGAAAAACAATATTTTGTTACATATCCATGAAAGACTCGATTGCGCGGTGCAAAATGTGTGCGTACTACCTCAAGAAGCGTATCATCAAAAACAGCGGAATGCTGATTTCTCGTATTTATGTCTCTTTGAAAAACTTTGGAGCAACGATCCCTTTCTCTTCAGCTAACAAAATCTTGGCGAAGCCGCTATTTTGGTAAATTGTAGTAAAATTACCTTTTACATCAGAAAAACACGTTCAAAGCCAACCTCTGATATACGACAAGAAAGACGACCTTCCGATCTCCAAGCAAAAAAATGGAGCTACAATCGGGCGGCTGGAGCTAGATAACACGGTTTTCGACCCGGTTAAGCTAGATCCATCTTAAAAAGTTTAACCTAGGATCGGGCGGTTCAACCTACTTTTGGGCGGTTGGGGAGGTTATACGCTAGGTTAACCACCTGCTTAACCGAGCGATCGAGCTAGCTCTATCTGATCTAACTCCAACCGTCCACTTAACCAACCGATTAAGCTAGTTTCTGGTATCAAATAGATTAAACACAGGGAGGTTATCAGCTAGGTTAACCGCTCACTTAACCGACCGATCGATCTAGCTCCAACCGGACAATTAACCGACCGGTTCAGCTAGTTCCAGACATGAAATGGGCATTAGATATGGGGAAGTTATCAAGTAGAGTAATCTACAGGTAAACCGGGCGGTTGGAGTGCCCAGTTAACCGGATAGCTTAAAAAATAAGATGAAGGAACATGTGCCTAACGAGAACCGTAAGATGTAAACGTCTTTTCTTTCTATACATGACTAACGTTTGGTTACGAAACAAGACAAAATGAGTAATGCTATTCTCCTTTCTTTCACTACTTTCAGATTCATGAAAGAATGAAAGTGAAAGTTTTATTTGCCATATGCTTTAAAAATGTGTCGATACATTTCACTCACGAGGGAACCTATCCAACTGTCGGACGCCGTTTGACTCCATATTTTGGCTATAAGTAGGACTCAGTGAGACTGTATAACGAAATTATATTTATTCGTTGAAAAATCGTGCACGTATTTGTTTTTTTCAAGTACCTACAAAAAAGTGAAAATTGAATTCTATTCAACCCTTTAAAGACTTTTGTCATACGTTTCGATTTCCATACTAGGTACCATACAAAAGTCTTTACAGTGTAATTATCCATAGAACTTGAGACATCTTAGAGTGTCTCTTCTCTAAATTGACACTCACAAACCGAACCACAATTCATTTAACAGTAGAATATCATGAACTATATGTTAATGAGTTAGAAATCTACAAACATATTAGCACCCACTTTTAGCTATTGGTGCTGGATCTTTCCTATAATTCTTATTCCATTCATTCCCTTCGTATTGTATCCAGTCGGATAAACATTTAATGAAATTGCTCGCGTATATTTGATCTACCCATTCTTGAGGTAGGTTATCATGACCGTATACAGCTCCTGCCAGCTGTCCATAGATGGCAGCAACTGTATCTGTATCGTCGCCTAAATTAACCGCTAAAAGAACGCCACGTTTAAATGAGTTATTGTCTCTATCGAATGCCCATAATGCTGCTTCTAGAGCTCTTATAATGTAGCCACCTGCTCGTATTCCATCATCATAGCCCCTTTTCTGACGAAACGATCCTGCGGCAATGTCAATTATTTCTTGATGTAACTGTTCATTACCAAACCAGCCCAACGCATAAGCGTTATCATAGAATTTTTTATCTAACAATCTGTTTTTTTCATAACCGTGCATAGCACCACATATCAGTGCTGCATAGTATCGACAAGCGTCAGCGGCTTTTTTATCCCCATGTGTCAGTAGTGCACTTTTGCCAGCGTAGTAGACTGCGTATGCTGGACGACGATAAAAAAATAACGGTACGGGTGCAAGACGCATTAATGCTCCGTTTCCCGCTACTCCAGGAGCACTGCATTCGGTCGTCATATCCTTCTCGAATTTGGTTACACAGTTGTCTGGTAGAAAGTCAATGTGTTTACTAGGCAGTCGATTTTCCCGTGCGAATTTTTGTTGTCGAGATGAAAACTCTCGTAATGAATCTTCTGTTGCTTTTCCAATATCGAAACACTCACCTGTGGACGACATATAACCCTGTTGATACCACCAATTGTATCGAACAAGCTGATCGTAAGGTTGGAAACCTTTTTTATTAATGAGACTAGCAGCTAAACAGAGTGTCATCGATGTATCGTCTGTCCACTGACCAGCTTTCAAACCCCATGTTCCTCCACCCTGAAGGTCTTCAACTGGATGCATTACCATAAAGCTGCGGGGACGAAATTCTACGCATGCACCAACGGCGTCTCCTATGGCCATACCAAGCATTGAACCGTAGATTCTCTTGTGTAATAGCTCATCGTGTTCATATTCTGGAAATACGAGTTGTATGTCTTCTGGTTTAGTTCCAATTATATTTAGCCAATCTGTTTTATTATTACAAGCCATTTCTGTTGTGTTTTTTATCTGAATATAACAACAGGTGAGTTACACTTTGATTCACTTGTATTTGAAACGAATATATCGTATGCTCACACGATTAACTATCTTACTGAAAAGGTATTCAGTTTGCTGAATTCGTAATCAAATTTTTTCTACGATTATTCACCGACTTATCGTTTTAAATATGGTGAGTATGCAGTTTCCTTTGCATCTTATCGATAAATAATTTTTCTTTTTTCTTTCATTCCTTTTGTTTATGATCAGTACGATAATAATATTTATTTGAAAAAGAAACATTTCATTTGCAACATGGTCACGTTGAGATAATATAAAGTGTATAGATGGCGCAATACATGACTGAAAATAAGTAGCAATCCACATTTATCGATATTTTCAAGGGGTGGGAGAGAAATCAAGAAACCGCAATTATGCTATCACAACAACAAAAAATGCTCCACCCACGAGAATTTTGTATCTCTTCATAGAAACGTTTTCTTGCATAGTCAATTAGCACAGTTCGTGTTTCGTTTGATGCGTGCTACATATAAGAGTTAATAAAAAGAAAGAAGCTAAGTAAAGTGGAGAACAAAACAAAAGATTTAATATACTTTTTTCTCCTCAGAGAGAAGCGCTTTAAACTTTTTTAAACATGTAGTAGTTTATTGTCCCAAAAATGGTTGACAAAAAGTATAAAAATTACTAGCTGCACAAATAATAAGTTGTTATTCCGATAATAATAACGAACACAATAGAGTAAAAAGTAACAAAAAAATGGTGAATTATGTGGGGGAAAAGGAAAAAAATTGTATTACACGTATTATTATCTCCTAACATACACATATTCTTTTTTAATAATAGCAATAAGGAAAGTTATTACAATACTTTAAAAATACAGATATTCGACAGAAAGTTAAGAAGGTTGAATGAAATACTTATGTACAAGCATGCATAAGAGAAGCAGAATTCTTATAGTACCCATATTCCGGTGTGTGCTTCGAAATAAAATTAATAATATCGACTTTAGAACTAAGAATCCAGTGAGAAGTTGGTATCGCGATACCAATTTCTCACTGGATTCTTAGTAGTTAAAAAGACAACCCATGTCGTGGACAGCTTCATGTTCAAGAAGCGCTTTACATTATTCTACGATAGTTTCGATCCTAATTGTGATGACTTCCCTAATATTGAATAAAACCTTCGAAGAAAAAATCAGTCTTATTGGATGGTATCAACATGTTTGGGGAATTTTGAACCACTATCTCAGGTGAAAGAGACAAAACTTTTAATTCGAAGGCTTGAATGTGGGCCCAACCCTAGTGAATAAGTAGTTGGTGCTAGTAGTCTAATATGTAATTTGGAAAATTTTGACATGTAAACACGGATAATAGTAAAACATGAAGACACCCACACACACATATACCCATACTTGCCGACACCTACAGACAGCACTCAGAAATCTACAGATAGTCACTGATAGCTACACAGAGACATCCAGTTCTACGGACAAAGGAGCGACACAGAAGTGTGTGTCTGTATTTTGTGTTGTCTGTGGGTGTGTCTGTGTAGCTGTCAGTGGCTATCTGTGGATGTCTGTGTGCTCGTCTGTAGGTGTCAGTAAGTGTCTGTATATGCGTGTGGGAGTCTTCATGTTTTACTATTACCCATATAAACACAGTATTTTTATCAATTAATATGTAACAATCGCTTATTATCTGTTGACAAAAGGGCTTTTTAAGTAGTGATAGTTACGCACGTCGCAAAAAAATGAACCTTTTCATTGAATATGAACAAAATGTATAATCTTCTATGAACGTTATTAACCAGATTACGTAAGATATTTCTTGTATGTATGTATTAGGACTGTCGATTTTTCTTGAAAAAAACCCACAGCTGTGTGTGTAGATTACTCATATTATTCTGAGCACACAGAATCTACCAGTTGTGCAATAACAAAACTATATGCTGTTCTGTTCCTCTCTAGCTCGGTTAAATGAAATATATACTCTTTATAGGTTACATTTTGCATAACAAAGAGAAAAAATGTATTCATTGGCAACTACGGTCCATCAGAGAATCGACCTTTGTTTACCGTATGAATTCATTTATACAAAAAATAATTTCGTTGCAATGAGCCCTTGCGGATCATTGAAACGTAAAATTGAGCCAAATGAAAACGATGACACATTCACGATAGCTAAAAAAGTCAGATGTGATCGAACTCAAGTTGGAAATGAGTATGTAATAAAAAACTCTGAACCAGTACTTGCTAAAGATATGCGTTTGTACGATGTCATATATACTTGTCGCCACGAAGATGATGCACATATTTATGCAATCAGCTACCATGAAAATGAGAAAACTTTAGCTTATTTGCGTAATGTACTTGCTGTAGAACGTCCGGATCATGATGGAATCATTGCAGTTTTCATGACCTCATATAAAAATCCTATAATAGAAGCGAACGTTCGACAATGGTCATTGGCTATTGGAAGAGAATTTCACAGTTCTTACGTTAGTACGTCGAACACTATTGATGATTCGGTACATTTTTATATGTTGAAAGATCAAATAGCAGAAATAACCTTTTCATCTGAATCTAGATCTGCTTTAGTCAACCAGTTAGCTCAATTAGTTGAACCTTGCAAAAAAATACTCTGATATTGCATCTGAGCAGACACTCATCTCAAAAGTTGTAAGAAAAATGAGAAAAATATGGATATTGTGTTATTGTTTGTAATTAATTTTTTCTTATCTGTTAATGTTACAAGCCATTGTGCTTCTCTTACCTGTCTACTTAAGTAAATGATTACGAATAGTACTGTTTTCTGCTTGTCATTTCGGCAGATCCATGTGAAACCCTCTGCACAATACAGAGCTCCCTATACAAACAACATGATCCTCTATATCGGAAGCTTAACTGTTGATATGCGGCATTTGGTGGAGTTCTAAATCTATAACTCTATAAAAATCTTATCTAAAATCTTAGAATCGTTCCAGGCATGATAAACATTTGTTTTCTAAAATAATTTTGTTTCTTTGCTATAAGCAATAGGCTGTTATGTTGTGCCTTATTTTTGCCTTATCTCACGTACGACAAGGTATACACAGTGGGGAATTTTCAATAGGCACGTGGATATTGAGTTTTAAATAACTTTAACAAATTGAAAACACTCTTTTTATAGGCTTTCGTGTGTGCTCTTTCCAGTGAAACGGTTTTCAGGGCTCAGAAAGCCTTCGAATGTTTTTTTTGAAACCCGTAGGTTTCTAGAGACCCAAATGTATTGAGAGATGATCAGTTTCTGAAGAAATTATAATTCATAGGTTTTCGGATATCCTGAACTCAATTGTAGTCACAAAAAATGTTTTGACAAGGTTCCGGCAGACTTCTGAAGACCAGGTTTCTAGATAAAAGATCGTCACTACTCTGCATGGCCCCACCGCCACCCCTTGACTCTTCGGTTTTGTATAGTACTAGCCAAGTCCCTAATCGTCTGCAGAGTTCACAGCTGAATTTCTAGAAAATTTTCCAGACTAAAATTCAAATTAAAATGCAAAACGGCATAGACTAAAAACAATCATGGTTATAACAATACTGTGGACGTTTGAACTCTGCAAGTCTCCGATTTAGTCCTGGTATATTGAAGAGGTGTTACTGCCTGAACGTGTCTCACTTTCAAAATTGTCATTAAATTCGGCTGGCTAGTCCAAAAGTGTCACAAGAAATATGAGTCGGTGGGACGACCCTGATGGAAAGGCGGGCCCACACAAGTGCTCGTAAAACTTGCGAGGCTTTTGGACTAGTCGAACAGAAGGCCTATTGTATAGGAAAATCTTCGCAACCAAGAATTTTAAACTTTACTTTGGTTCGAAACCTCTACAACGGAATCGAATAACCAAGGCCTAAACATTATCGTAAAAAAGCCTTACCTTTAATTCTCCGAACATCATTAACCTAGTTTAACGTCATTGCGGACAAAAAAAGCGGAAAAATCAGTGCTTTCGTTTGGCAGGGATTTTCACGAAAACCCATATTAATCATAAACTCTTAAAAGACACACCGTTCGATGCAGTTTTTCCATGCTGTATCCAAATATGGCATCGGTTTTCAGAAAAAGTACTTTGCAATCGAAAAACCTGTAAAACACTGACGAGGGAACCTATCCAACTGTCGGACGCCGTTTGACTCAATATTTTGGCTATAAGTAGGACTCAGTGAGACTAAGAAAATCCTAAAAGGGTTCGGACCCATGACTCTTGAAGACCCCGTTTTCTGGAAAACCAGTTTTTCAA